CAATTTTTTCTTAAAAGGAAAGTGGACGAAAACATGCATTTTCTTAGATCTCTTTTAACGGATGGAATTTTCATTTAAACATGCACATTCTTAGATCTCTTTTAATGCAATAATAACTGCTGGTCTATTGTTTACTTTATTGGTTATTCACATCATTCACAAATCAAATACAACAGGCATTATAGAAAAGCTACATGTCCAACACATTTACACCGCACTCCGAATTTTGAACTACACACAGACAAAGATCTCTCTGCTTACACATTGTTTGTAAATAGACGAATTTTGTCTCTGCAGTTTGAAAGTTTGGGCACGGTGTAATTAAGGATGGCGTACAAAGAACATTTTCCAATGCATTAACCTCTTACTACCCCTTTTTTCCCAAATAGAGTTTGGTTTAAGAACTTCCTCTTGTCCCAATAAAAGAGTTCCGAAAAGTTAGGGTCCCTTCTGCGAACGAAGAAGAAGATGCAAGTTTTGATATTTTTTTCGATATCAGTCTGACCTCACAAATGGTGGGGTGGGTGGGTGGGGTGTTGGAACAATAAAAAATAATTTTATTATTGTGACTGCACTTAGAAAAATAAAACATTCTAAGTTGCCTACGTACCCCAATGAAAGGGATCAAGCCACACGTAGTTCAAAACATGGTTGGTTAAGATTAACCGGATAAACCTTCAAGGCGCGTGATCCTTGGAAACGCTTTCCTAAAAGTTTCTTATCTACCCTATTATAAGCAACAAGGGTTACAAGATAGAACTTTTGGGATACAATGAAGAAGACCAAATTGTTCGGTTGCTCTACGAAACAATTTGTTAATGTACTTTAACGAGACTTGTTTCGAGAGAAAGGAGACGAAAAAACATAGAAAAATACACTAATTAATATTTCATCATCATAGAATAAATATAAGAAATAAATGCATTATTTCTTCATTATTCTAAATAATCAATGAAATAATAATTAATAATAAATTATTTTTCTAACATAATTTGTCCCTCTCAATTTTTGCATTGTGACATGGGCCCTATTTATAGAAAATAATATGCCCCTTCATAAATGATCATGTCTCTTTTGTAAGAGACACACCCATTTAATTAAAAACTTCCAATTTAAATTCAAAATAAATATTCAAGAGTTATGTCATTTAAGAATAAACATGTCTCTTCAAAGAGTTGTGCCCATTTATTTAAAATTCAATTTTGAATTCAAAATAAATCTCCAACAATCCTCCTCCATTTATTTCGAATTCAAAATACATAAATATGCCCACAAGACAAATTTCAAAAATTCATGCGTAAATGAAAGTGTAACGCATATTGAACTTCCACTTAGTGTAATACACTTTACAATATTTTGGATTACAATAGTAGACTAAGCTTTGACCTATGTAACCGCTTTAAAATATTGAAGATATTACACACACGAATTTTTCTTAAAGTACAATAATAACTTGACACTTTCTGTTCAGGCCATGTGCCCATATCCATTCGTGAACATAACCAAGTCAAGCCCCTAACTTGGTGAAGCGGCCACACTTCATGTTCATATAGGTAGATCTTTTAATCGTGTTCTGCAATTGCAACACTTTTTCAAAAGATCTATTAAGATATTCAACCTTCTTTTCCATTGCAGTACCAAACACTACCCCGAGATAATATTTATCATTTAGTGTTTACAAATTACTACATGAACTACTTGTCAACATTGAACTCAAGATCGAGCGTTGTACTAGACGTTGAGTTGCGCTTTCGTTCACACGTAATTAACTATGGGCTTAATCACATCCCTCATATATTTTGTATATCTAACTTTAATCATTTCTTCATTATGATCCAGAAGATATAATAATCTCTTATTTCTTCATCATATGCAGAAGAAATTTATTCCTTGTCCTTGAAACGCGCGATAAAATGCAAGGAATC